ACTGAATCTGTGCACATTCCTGCACTAAACAGATGTAACCAGGTAAAAATGACAAAAGAGCTTAGGCTTCTATCTCCTACAGTATAGATCACTTTGGTAATCAATGAGTGACCTATAGGAAGAACTTCAGAAATCTGGACAAGCAGAGTTGCTCTGAGGCAAAATGATACAATTTTACCTAAGACCAACTCCTCTTTCCACAGCCCTGAGAGATGACATCTCTTGGGTAGGAGCAAGATAGGTTCCCTTTACATAAGTGCCTGGGGGCCTGTAAGGATCACTATACACACTATTCTAGGATACAGGAAAAGCAATATCATGAGCTCTTATTCTGTCAATGATCTGGCCTTGTGGATCTGCCTAGCATGTAGTGAGAAGGTTTACCCTGACCCTGTGAGCAGTCTCAATTAAAAACCTGATTTTTACTGATTTTCTTGGCTGTATGATTCATACTAATTGGACTAGGAATACAAAATGCCAGAGAATTGAAAAATAGCTTGAGGCCTGGCATATATTTCATACGTATGTGCTTTGTCACATCCTTCATTCAACAAACATTTAATGAACTCCCACTGTATGCCAGGTTCTGTGCTGGGACTGCACATATAGACAGCAATGATGCAAGTTGGCCTACAAGAAGCTAAGAATCTAGAAGGGAAACAGACATCTATATCAATGGTCCTATAAAAACTGTAGATGTAAGCTAGTGGACTTCTTCCTTACATAGATACTATGTTTGCTGGAATAGGAAAGACAAACAAAAATTCACAAAGTGAAAGAAAAGACAGAGTTGAAAAAGAAAATCACTAAGAGCAAAGGGAACAGCATGGACACAGGCTTGGAAGCACTGGAAAGTACTACTTGATTAGGTATACTCTTAGTAGCTCAATGTAACAGATACTTAGTGGTTTCTGAGGAAGCTAAATGTTAAAATGGTCAAAATCATAAAGGGTTGATTATTTCATCCTAGGAGGTGAGATTTTATCTTGTAAGTAATAGGATTTAATGAAATGATTTTAAGAAAAAGGATGATATGGTCTTAATATATTTTAGCTTTTCTGGGAAGGACAGATTGCAAGAAACACTGGGAGAAAACAGAGCTTATCCATATTCATTGGCCTGAGTATAGATAAGAACCCAAACCAAGGTAGAAATACAAAGAAGAAAGAAAAGACAAGAGGAATTTGGGAGTTAAAGTCATGAAACTTTTGTGATTGATTTGATGTGGTTGAAGAGCAAGATGGTGGAGCCAGAGAGTCTGAATAGGGTGCTGAGATGGATCACATTGCCATCTACCAAAACAGGAAATATGAGGGAAGGAATCAGTCTGGGGGAGGGGAAAGATGATGAGTTCAGTTTGACAAATGATGAGTTTTGAGGTGCCTGTGGGATATCTAGGCAATGAGCCTAATGGAATCCAGGCCACAGACTTGCAGGAAATGGCATAATATCAGCCTTCATTCCTAATACCCATTTTTCATGATTTAGGATACCACTCCTGTATTCCAACTGACAACTCATTCACTACCAGGAATCTAGAGAGGCATCTTGTACCTGGGTGCTTTCTGCCACTTTGGCAAAGAATCATGGCACTAAACTAACCCTAAGAAATTATTTATTTCCTTGATTCCTTGACTTCCAAACTAGACCATATGTCAGACTTACTGGGAATTTTGTGAGTTAAAGATTCTTAGGAGGCATATTCCAACTCCAGTCCTGTTTTCATATTCTGACTATTAAAGGCCTCATTTTCCTGAGGATGAAGAATTTGGAAACAAATATGTATTTTGTATGTGGTATTTTCATATTCTATATTGGGCACTTTATATATACTATATTGTTTAATCCTAAGTAGACATTACTACCCATATTTGGGATAGTACTGAGATCCCTAAAGGCTATTTTCTGACCATATGGCAGAACTATGATTCAAACACATTCCTGTCTGATATCTAAGCCTAGGAACTTGCCGCCCTACTTACCATACTGCTAATGTTCATGTCAACTATATTATATAGTCTACCACTATCTTACCTTAAAAGAAAGAGAGACAGAGAGAGAGAGAAGCACATCACAGAGAATGTCTTAGTCTGTGCGTATCGAACAAATCATGTGGTCCATTATTGACATTATTGTAGCTTTATACTATTTGTCTGTAAAATGCATGTGATTCGCATTTTTAAAAATTAGAAGCTTCCAGTCAATTCTCCCTCCTCAATGATGGCTACCAAATATATCATTGCTAAACCACTAAAGACTATGTTAAAGAAACATTTGTTAAAGTGACATTAAAGGCTCTGGATGAAAACCACTAGAGTGGGGAAAAGCCTTACAGTTGAAACTTCCTCATAACTCACTTGTGGTGCGTGGCATGGATGGCGGGTGCTGGGAGACCACCCACTGACCCACGGCTCCTACCGCAAAGACACAACAAGAGAAAGCTGTGAACACCCTGGCTTTTAGGAATTCAGATGGGATTGATAGTGTTTCTTTTAAAGAAATTATTCGTCATCTCTCCATAGTCAACCTTCCTAGTCATATTTTAGAAAGAGAAAAAAGCCAAAAGAAAAAGGTTTTACAACTTGATCTAGAAAAGCAGTCTGTGAGATGTTTCACTCTCCAGCCAAAAAAGGACCTCTGTCAGGGGTTAACAGTATATAATCCCTCCTTGAAGGGCATAAAGACATTTTCAGGGAGCTACAAGGGTCAAGAGTGAGCTACTAAGTAATGGTGACTCTTTCCTGCAGAGCTGCCAGTAAATATTAGAGACCTGAAACACACCTTTCAAAACAGGAAAATGCAGCAGTGACAGAAGTGAGGACAGAGGGAAAAGGAATCTTCAGGGGTGGAGTCAGATCATGCATTGAGAAGCTACAATACTCCAGGTTCTGAGAAAACAAAAATTTAAGAGGGGCATGTCTCTGTCCTCAAAAAAATCACAATCTAATACCAAAGCAGTCAACTAAGCAAGTAATTACAAAGTAGCAAGACCTATCTTCTCAGAGGTTTAGAAACAAGTGCTCCAGGAGTACAAAAGAAGGAGAAACTAGTTCTGCCTAGAATAAAATTTTAAAAACTGGAAATTTTGCTGAGAAAACATTTCAGCTGAATCATCAAGTATCAGAAGGAGGAAAGACAGGGATCTGAAGATGAGGAAAGGGATGCTGAAAAACATGGACCTACAAAAGGTCAGTGTGTCCAAATCTTAGGGTTGATGTATGGCTAGGTGCTGATGATAGTCACATAGTGAAAGTGGTTGAAGATACATTCAAACCCTAAATCACAAACTTTCCTTTTCAGGAGGAAATATTTGAGTTTTATCCTAAAGTCAAGAGGGATCTCTAGAGAGGTCTTTTAAATGAGGAAATTACATGAAAATTTTACATTTGGAAAAAGAACCATAGTTCGTTGTTTACTGAAATGGTATATGAAATGAGCTCTTCTTTGAGGCATAGAAGTGTTTAACTAAGTAGAGAAGTCAGAAAGTAAGGATCTTAGAGAAAAATTATCCCCATGTATGTGACTCTCTGGATTGAGAAACACTTCTTGAAATGAGGCCCCGTTAGGGTAAAGATATAACACCAAAGCTTTCATTCTATTCCTCTCTTCCACTTCCAGGCAGAAAAGACATGTGAGGGAGACAACAGAGCAGGTTACCCTTCCTCTCACCTAAGATGTGTCCTAAGAGGAAATTAAGCATGGAAGCAAGCAGGGTTAGGATGAAAACTGTAAAGTGTACAATATAAAGAGGAATCCTGATAGATATAGAGATAACCAGATTCCCCATTCTGAGGCATAATAGTCTAACTTTCCCTAAGTGACCAGATCTAGGTCTTGAAAATCAACAGAATTCTTCATGCAATACGTCATGATGAAAACATTCTAACAGGCATGATGGATTAGAATAGACCCATTTCCAAAGAATGGGAACATACTAGTAAAAGTCAGATATATATAAAATAAGTGAGGTTTAAGGAGAGTGAGTCCCTACATTTAACAATGGGCCAAGAAGAGACTAGAAATTATGCTCATCTAGTCAGAACTAGTTGAAAAGAGAAATCTGACCACTTCATGATGATTATACTAGGCTCTGTCCTGTGCTGCTTTGTTCCTGCTGAAGAGGGACAAATAATAGAGATGAAAATCTGGGACCTCAGTCCCTTTATTTTCTGAGAGGGAAAGGCCAACTCTGCTGAAGATACAAATGGTTTGTCCAAGGATTGCTTCTTATCATCCTTTCAAGGGTTGCTGAGGAGAAGAGAGGAAGTTTCAAAGCTTATTATAACAGGCCCTTGGGGGAAGTTTCCAAGATAACCCAAGAAAAGCATATCTTGTTTCTTCTGGGAGTTTTGGCCTTGGAAAGGAGCAAGCAAGACACATAACAGGAAATAAGATACTACTTGACTTGGCTTTTTGTTCATTTTTTAAAGTGATAAGCATGTTTATTTTCTCAATCACATACATACATGCACAAGTATATTTTAAATTATATGTCTACATACATAGTAGTGCTTGGTTTTACAATGCCAAAGGTAATTTCATCATTGTACAAACATCATATACTACATACAAATTAAGATGGCTATGAGATTATTAATCAACATAATCTCACTGAATCACCATTGTATAAGTGACCCATCACTGACTGAAATATAATTATATAGCACTTGACTATACATGTGTATGTATATGTGTATGTATGTACATCTATATATAGATACATAAACAGATATATATATGCCCTTAACTACAGGTCCACCTAAATGGTAACTTGAGCAAATACCACTTTCTCATATCTTACCAGAAGTTGATAACTTGAGAGAGAACACTGACATTAGCCAAACATCTAGCCCTTAAGAACACATTTATAATTTACTTATGGCTTAATATTTCTACTAATAGGATTAATAAATCATGTTTTCATTCAACTGATTTTCTGTGTGGTATGAATTTTTTATGCCAAATCTTAATATGTTTTATTTTGCTTCTTCATTTTCCAGTTCATTTTTGCAGCTACAGAGAGAAATTTCTTAGTCTGTATTGCCGCCTTTCTGCTGTTGTGGAGCTGGATTCTCTGAATACCCAACAGTCCTTGAGGGAAGCGATTTCAGACAGCGAGGTTGCAGCTGCCAAACAACGACATCAGCAAGTTTTAGACTTCATTCAGGTAATAGTTGATTTCTTCTCAAAAAGAAGAGGCACAATGGAAAGGGTAAGCACCAAGCAAGGGAAAGGGAAGCAATTTGGGCTGATTTGAAGAAAATACAGTGTAAGCAGGCTGTTGATCTGGCTAAAATATGGCTCTCTTAGGGAGCTATGGGTTTTGAAACAAAAGCTTAAGAAAATGTTACAGATAAATCATACTACTAAGAATTATATCAGCCAAGATGATAGGTAGCAAGTGGCCTTCTATATTGTTAAGAAAAAAAGATCACTTTCAGAAGTAATGAAAAAAATATTCTCCTTATGCTGGTAGCCCATTGATAATTCTAGCAGAATTTTTTAAAATATATATTAAGTTCCTAAATAGCTCATAGAAAAAAAAAGATAACAATCTACCAGTTAATCTAAATACAGTTAGACCTAAGATTCCTCATGTTTTGGAATTGTTTCTACCAGAGTTGAAATTTCATGTGTGGCTCAATGTAAAAAAAAAAAAAAAAAAGTATTATTTGTTCAAGTTCTCAACTACAAATGTCTATGGTGACACTTCAGGGTCTTGTTTGTGAAAGAGATACTAACTAATAATCAAGAAAATCTAGGTCTGGCTTGATATTGCTTTAGCAAATCTTGGAATCAGCCAAGGGCTGGTGGCTCATGCTTGTAATCCTAGCTACACAGGAGGCTGAGATCTTGGGATAAAGCCAGTCCAGGCAGAAAAGTCCATGAGATTCTAATCTCCAGTTAACCATAAAAAAAATCTGGAAGTGGAGTTATGGGTCAAGTGGTAGAGCACTAGCTTTGAGTACAAAAGCTTAGGGACAACACCTAGGCCCTGAGTTCAAGCTCCAGACCTGGTACAAAAAAAAAAAAAAATTGGAATCATTGTAGTACCTACCCAATTCACAAAATAAATCTAATAGCAATAGCTACCTTCTAAATTATCACCATGATATTCAGTCCAATTTGATGAATAGTTATTAACATCAGCATTGAACACAGTATGAAAGCAAAAAGCTGGAATAGTAATTCCTGACCTTAAGTTTAAAACTTATTAAAGTAGGAAAGGTTTGTCTATATTGCTTGTAAAATGTTACATGACAAAGAGAAATTCAAATACAAAAAGAAGAAGAAAGTTCTGTGTCAACACAAAGAAGAAAAATTTACTTCCACATGTGGCTGTCATGGGAGGACATTCCTTAACATCTGAACCTGGCCTATGAGATAGATTAGAAGGAGAAAAAAACAGAACATGAAACATTCAGAAAGGAAATGTAAACAGATAAGGAAAAGAGCAGAAAAACAGGGTTTAGGTAAGTAGTAAGTAGCTAAGGTTGGTTGGGGCAAATTGAGTATTGAATTATAGTGAGAAATTAGGCAAGATTGAAAGATAGCAATGAAATCAGACCACAAGGACTTTATTAAAGGCCATGGTAAGGAATTTGCCCTTAATTCTGTAAGCAAAAGGGAGCAATCCAAAGTTTTAGAAACAGTAAATGATAGACTCTCACAGCTCTGTTAAGGACAGATTCAGTCAGAGAGGATTTTCTTCTTGTATGCACTGCTATGGCCATAGTAGCTGTACACTGTTAGCAATTTATTCTGCTTGGTCACCAAATAATTTGCATATATCTCCTGGATTTAAGAAGAAAATTAAATGTAAGGAAACCAGATAAGAAACTGACAATTATCAAAACAAGGGGTAAAATGAGAATGTAAGGTAAGGAGATATTGTAAACTTGAGGCCTAATAATTTTCTAGAAATTCTGATCTCACCTGAAAAATAGGGATGATGATAATACACACTACATTTATCATAGTGTTACCGAATGAATTCAGTGAGTAAATTCATGGGAAGCATTTAGCAAAGTGCTTGGCACATACAATAAATTCTGTATTAATTCATTCATAACTAAGAAGGAAAACCCCTTTGAAATATGAATATACAAAGATTGAATCTTTTGAAGTATTTAGGAACAAAATATTGCTAAGAAGTGAGCAAACAAATCTTCAGGATTATTCTATTTTCTCATGCTATAAATTATTTTAAATGACTTCCCAGAGTAAGGAAATGACTTTTCAAAAAATTACTTGTTCTCTTGACCTGAGAATGTGGTAACTAACATGTTTAAACACTTATTTACTTCATTTTCAGTAAAAATGGAACATGGAAGGTAGGAAAGGACTGGGATATAGAGAAATATGGAAGATAAGCCAGAGCTTATCTTTTGAGCCAGTAAGGGACAATGATGCACAGTAAGAATCATGGACTAGAAGTCAAGAAGCACTTATTTTAGATCTCAATATCTACTCATAAACTCTTGAGCAATGAACAGTTCATAAGTCCTGGGAGGGAGTTATCTCCTCATATGTTAAATGTTTGCATTTGACTAGATAACTTCTAAGGGCCTAGTCAGCTCTAACATTTTAAAACCTAAAAACCAGAAATATTTCAGAAAAACACTCCTCTGACTATGCCTAAAGTTGTGTGACTGTCTTATTCTACTTAAACCTCCCTGAATCCAATACTTTTTACTCTTTCTTCATTCTGTGGTAGTCTTTAACTCCTCCCAGAGTTCCAGGCTCCATTTTCACTTCCTATTACCCTTCTTCTTCTCTGGTTTGCTTAGCATAGGGCTTTGTTAACTTTTTCTGTTTCCTTTACATCATACCTTTAAAAGGGCTAAAGACAGGCAAGGCCAGGATCTTGGCAAGTTTTCACCTCCTCTGGTCTCCTTGAGAGCCCCTCTATACTCTTTCCATCCAGCCAGATACACATACACATGTATAAAAGCTAATTCCCAAAGAATTCAAAAAACAGCTTTTTTGGCAGGGTAAAACCAAACTATTCCCCTGCACCCTTAGCCTTCTATATACCATCTTGTTCCACCCAACATCATATGGATAACTATAACTCAATTTTTATCTCTCCCTTAACTATGTTGACCTCTTAGTTTCTCTGTGTGTCTGTACCTCTCTCCTCCTCCCTCTTCCCCTCCTTCCCCTCCTCACCCCCCTCTCTCAAAATCAGTAGTTGCCATTCGCCCATTGGTTTTCACAACTTACCCACCACAGACTATAACCTGCAGAGTCAACTACCAGTCATGGGAACATTTAACTCCAGATTTAAGACAGTGATGAAGTCATTGCACAAAACAGGACATTGTAAAGAACAAGGGAGTCCATGTAAATTCAGTTAGAAAAAAAGCTAAAGAGAGCAGTCAGGAAGAGAGGATAAGAATAGGGTAGTTGTAAAATCATTGATAAGGCACATACGGTTTTCAAATAGTACACACAGCAGAAACGTCAAAGTAAGTGAAAGAAGAGAAGGAGGAGAAGGAGGGAAGAAAAGAAAAATGTCAAACTAGGAGACCCGAGGCTTAATATATTTTGAGCTGCTAAAACCTAAAGAGCAATTAGGACATAATTTATATGCTGTAATGTTTCAAATGCTCCTAAGCTGTAATAGGACATAGCTCATTATATATAGCCAATCTGTCATCCCCTCAAGCACCTTGTAGCTGTGCTATGAGAAAACCAATCACTATTACATCTTAATAAAAATATTATCTTGCCTGATAGAAGGGAAAGGGACATAATTTATATGAAGAAAAGTGAAATTTTTAAAGAGCAAGGTGAGAAATGGATGCAGAACTTTTAATCAATAGACAGAGAGTTAATGATCTTTCTTTTAAAAAATGTGTCAGCAAGTCTTTAGAAGCTGAGTTTGAACCTTAAAGTCAGTGGGGATTATGTTGTCAGTTACTTTTACAACAACAGAAAGTAAAATGGGTGAAAAATTGTACTTCATGTAAAGCTACCAAGCTAAGTCCATTAAACTCAATCCACAGGTCTCCTTGTACCTATGGATTTTCTTTTCTTCAGTTAAGACCCGTACACCTCATCACTGAGAAAAATTAAGAAGCAATTTCTAGAAAAAATTCTATACTGACTCTATTGATGTTCAGAAGAGATTGGAGCAGTCTTATCCAAAGGGAATTGGTGGATTATTTTTAATAATTATATCCATCTCCTAAAGCAGCTATACCAAATTAGCATAGACTTGGTACCTTGAAACAAAAGAAATTTATTCTCCCACAGTTACAGTGATTAGGAGTTTGAAATTCATGCACTGGCAGAACTCCACTCTGCCAGAAGTGTCTAGAGAGTCTTTTCTTTGCCTCTTCTAGCTTCTGGTGGCTGTTGCCATTCCTTCACAAATTTCCATCTCTGTTATTGTCACATTGCCTCTTTCTATTGTATCTGCCCCTTCCTCTTTTGCATTTGTTTGTTGTTGTTGTTTTTAAGTACTGGGGATTGAACCCAGGTATTCAGGCATGCAAGTACTCTACAATTTAAGCCATGTCCCCAACCTATTCCTCTATATATGTGTTTGTGTGTGTGTGTGTGTGTTGGCATGAGGTCTCATCCCCAACCTATGTCCTCTGTATGTGTGTGTGTGTGTGTGTGTGTGTGTGTGTGTGTGTGTGTGTGTGTTGGTATGAGGTCTCTGACCCTGCCCAAACTAACCTTGAACTCATGATCTTCCTATCTTCACCTTCTGGGTAGCTAAGATTACACATATTCACCACCATGCCAATCCTCTGTCTCACTTGATACAAATACCCCCTTCTCTCAAAATCCTTAACTTAATCACATCTCTTGCTACATAAGGTAATATTCACTTTTCTATCATATAAGGTAATATTCATGGATTCTGGGGAATAGGACTGCAGATCTACCTTCAGAGTTCAAGCCCAGAAAACACACACACACACACACACACACACACATCCAAAGGAACAGAAGAGAAGATCTAGAAATAATCCCACATACCTACATCCATTTGATTTCTGACAAAGGTGCCAAAAAAAAAAAAAAAACATGAAAATGATAGCATCTTCAACAAAGGTGATGAAAAAGCTGAAGAGCTGAGTATAGAAGTCTGAAATAAGATCCCTATCTCTCACTCTGTACAAAAGTCAATATGAACTGGATCAATGGTCTAAGTGTAAAACCTAAAACTTTGAAAGTACTAAAGGAAAATATACGAAAACTCTTGTTGAACATATACAAATAGTTAATGCCTTTCTGAATACAACTCTAGTTACCAAGGAAATAAGAGCAAGAAGAGACAATGGGATAGCATCAAATTAAAAAACTTCTGCATAGCAAAGAAAACTATTACAGGACATCAAGAGGCAACCTACATAATGGGAGAAAATCTTTGCTAGCTGCCTATCAGATAAAGATGAATATCTAGAGTACATAAAGGTATCCAAAAGTTAAGCACTAAAAAGAGAATCCACTGAATAAATGGCAAATGAATTAAACAGACAGTTCTCAAAAAAAATGTACAGATGGTCAAAATAATAGGCAAAGAAATGTTCAACATTCCTAGCAATAAAGGAAATGCAAATCAAAACAATACTGATATTTCATCTCATCCTAGTCAAAATGACGTCTACCAAGAAAACAAACAACAAATATTTGCAAAATTCGGGGGAAATAAACCTTTATACACTGTTGGTTGCAATGTAAAATAGTGCAGCCACTTGGAAATCAGTATGGAAATTCCTCAAGAAACTAAAAATAGAGCTGGACACTGGTAGTTCCCACCTGTAATCCTAGCTATCAGCAGGCTGAAATCTGAGGATCAAGGGTTGAAGCCAGCAGGGGAAGACAAATTCAAGAAATTCTTACCTCCAATTAATCAACAAAAAGCTGGAAATGGAGCTATGGCTCAAGTGGTAGAGTGCTAGCCTTAAGTGAAAAGCTAAGTAAGAGTGCAAGGCCTTGAGTTCAAGCCTCATTACCAGCATAGATCAAAGTAATATAATATAAGTTAGCGGCACTATTCACAATAGCTAAAGTATACAATAAGCCTAAGTACCACCAAACAACAAATGGATAAAGAAAGCATGGGAGATTCAGAACAGAATATTACTCAGCTATTAAGAATGATGAAATTATGTCATTTATAAGAAAATGCATGGAAATGGATATCAGCAGGTTAGACAAAATAAACCAGACTAAGACAAATATCCTATGTTCTCTCTCATATGTAGAATCTAGACCTTGGAGGCAGAAAGTGATTAAGTATGAAAAAGCCACTGAGGGTGAGAATAAGTGGGAGGAGGAAGATGAAAATAGAGGGTGAAGGGAAGGTAACTATGACTGAAATCATATATATATATATATATATATATATATGTATATGAAAATAGAATAACACATGTACAAAATAGAATAAACCCATTAAAAATGTTTCAAAATGAGAGGAGAGAAATAAGAAAGAGTAATAGGTGGTTTTAATCAAAGTACATTAAATATGCGTTCAAAATATTACAATGAAAATGGTTTGGTACAATGACTATGCATTAATAAATAAATATAAGGAAGAATAAGCTATTTAAACTGTTCTATTCTTTAGAAGCAGTTATAGTATTAAAGCAGTAAGTTTAATAAAGTTCCTTCTTTTCTTTTAACATAGGTACAAGCATTCTGAAATTCAGAGTTTACTATTTCCCTTCCCCACACTGTTCCAGTAAAGAATATTTCATTAAATGAAGGGAGTTAACATTTGGTATGTGTGAGCAATGAACCCTGCAGGACCACAAAACACATTGAAATTCATTGTTTTACTCAATTATCACAGTAACCATAAAAGGTATTTTTTTTCTAAAGCTCAAAAGGTACAGTGATTTGCTAAAAGTTATTATAGAACTGAACAAAACTGGAATTTCCTCTATTTCCACCAAATGACAAAGACGTAGTTTCTTAGGAGAAAATATGCAAAACACAAGAAATTATAAGAAGAGGTGTTTTCTGGCTTTGAATACCTATTTTGAAAGTATTGACTTTCACTTAAAACTTTCTCAGGAAAATGTGCTTTTTTTTTATTTCTCCAGTACTGCAATTTGAACTACTAGGTAGGTAGTCTACTTCTTCTCATATTCCCACCGCTTTTTTGTGCTTGAGTTAATTTTAGGTCAGGCCTTGCGTTTTTGCCCAGGCCAACCTCTAACTGCAATCCCCCTACCAATGCATCTAACATAGATGCCAAGCTTACTGACTGATATTTGGGGGGTCTCGTTTATTTTTTGTGCAAGCTGGCCTTTAATTGTGAACCTCTTGATCTTTAGCCACAAAGTAGGTGGGATTACATGCATGAAACACTGTGCCTGGCATAAACTTCTTTATTTTAATAGCTATGTGATAACTTTTATCATTTTATTCTAAAGCAAATAGATGAAGTGTGGCGTGAAATGAGATGGATAATGGATGCTCTACAATATGCAAGATACAAACAATCAATTTCTGGCTTACCTATCACTAAGCTGATAAACCCCTTGGATGAGCATCATCTAAAAAAGATCAGCTCTACATCATCACATATAGACTGTCTTCCATCACCATCTCCATCCCCAGAGATGCACAGACGAAAAGTAGTGAGTGGTAAGCAGCGGGGACTATTGGAGGTGGAAACCAGCTGGAGATGGGAGGGGAAAAGAAAGGTGACTATGACCTAAATATTCATACACATGTACAAAAATCATTAAAAATTACTTAAAGCCAGACATTGATGGCTCACGCCTGTAATCCTCGTTACTCAGGAGGCTGAGATCTGAGGATCACAGTTCAAAGCCAATCCAAGCAGAAGACCCTTATAGCCAATAAGCCACCAGAAAACCAGAAGTGGCACTGTGGCTCGAGTGGTAGAGCATTAGCCTTGAGCTGAAGAGCTGAGGGACAGCGCCCAGGTCCAGAGTTCAAGCCCCACCACTGACAAAAAAAGTGTGGGTTTTTTTTGGTTGTTTTGTTGTTTTTTTTTTTCTTTTTGGTCTGTTGTGGGGCTTGAACTCTGGGCTTGAGCGCTGTCCCTCAGTTCTTCAGTTCAAGATTACACTCTACCACTTGAGCTACAGCAACACTTCCAGTTTTCTGGTGGTTTATTGGAGATAAGAGTTTCACAGACTTTGCTGCCCGGGCTGGTGTTGAACCGTGATCCTCAGATCTCAGCCTCCTGAGTAGCTAGGATTACATGCGTGAACCACCGGTACTTGGCAAAAAAATAAAATGTTTTAACTGGGGGTGAGAATAAGGGAGAGTAACAAAGGACATGAATTTGATCCAAGCACATTACATGCCTGTATGTAAATAATTCACTGAAATATCTGTATAATTAATATAAGCTAATTTTTAAAGGGGAGCAGAAGACAAATCTAAAAATACCTAAAGTTCTTTTATTCAGTCACTAGATGCTTGGTCCTCTACTGATGAAGTTCTTTGTTCAATGAGTGGTAAGAATGTAGAAATACAGAAGAAACAAAACCAGAGGAAGAACCTAGGGTAATGACCTGAGATCAGCTCCACTTAAAGGAAAGGAAGTCTCAGTCCAGTTCTAGTCACTATTTCCAATATATAAAATACATGAAGCAAGGAAAAAAGACTCAGAGGCGCAGAATGAAGACTGACACATGAGGCAGTCAGCCCTCACTGGGCAGAAGCTAACCAAACTAGCAAGAACAGGCTCAATGTCAGACAGAGAGGCAGGAAGCAAGTCTCATCTGAGGTGTGAGGTGAAGTCAAGTCCCCTATCTACATGGCATCAATGTGCTAGCATGGAGAATGTATGAGAGAAAGCTTCAATAAATTAGAACGCTGAACCTGAGGCCAAGTAAGTCACTTAGCCTTATCAATCTGATGAAAATACTTAGCAAGTTATCTATCTCCTCCTGTGGAATTTAAGTCTGAGTTTACATGAAATATATAATTAGCAAAAAATCTCACTAGGCTAACACAAATATCTACAAAATACCTTTGTATAAGCAAGGAAAAAGCACCCTAAGCATAGGGAAGACTGCATAACATTCTTTCCTGGAGCATTTTGAGATGAGTATCATTTTTCTAGTTGATTAAAGAAATAGCCATTTGCCAGGCACCAGTGGTTCACACAGGTAATCTGAGCTACTCAGGGGGCTAAGATCTGAAGATCCAGGTAGAAAGAGACTCTTATCTCCAATAAACTACCAAAAAGCTGAAAGCAGAGCTGTGGCTCAAATGGTAGAGTACCTGCCTTGAACAAAAAGGCTAAAGGACAGCACTAGGCCCCAAATTCAAGACTAAGTACAAGCACAAAAATAAATATATATTTTAACTTAAAGAGAGCCATTTAAAGAATCTGGCTTGATTCTACAGTTCAAAAGCGCTCCAATTTTCCTAATAGTTTAATAAGCAATCCCAATATGTAGGCTTGTCCCATAGGGGGCAGTATGGTGTAGCAGAAAGAGTTTAAGCTTAGAAATCAAAGCTCTGGATTCAAATCCTAGCTGTCTTACTACCTATATGTGCTGAGAATACTACATCTGAGTCTTATTTTCCAAGAATGTAAAATGGTAATAAGTCTGTATCTTAATGAGTTATTAGTGAATAAGACAATCTATATCAGAGATGTATGAAATATAATAGACAATATATTATTCATATATTTAATTTCATTGTTATTATTAAAATTTTTAATAGCATTATGAACCTTTTCTATAAGCAAGTTTGTATGTGATATTTTTCCAAGTTTTGCCTAAAAATCAAAAGTTAGCAAGTGGAAGAATTTACGAGACAGCTTATCAAAGAAATTCAACTAATTCAACAAAATAATTATTTAAACAGTTTCTAGAGTATGTTTTCACAAACTTCCACTGATCTGGGAACACAAATCAAATATGATCTCTTCCAGAAGTTAGTCTGCTGGGAAAGATCAACAAATTAACAACAACAACAAAAAGACCTGGTGATTGGATATGAGTGGCAAAGGTCTACAGAAGGTCAAAGTGAGCTTCTTGGAGACAGTGATAGGAATCTGTTACCCTGGACAAGAGGGAACTGAGTATAAAAAGAGGAAAAGGGGAGCATTAAAGTCAGAGATAACAGATTATAACAACTATGTTGTAATTCAGAAAATATACAGGCTAGCTGAAACTCAGGATCCAAAAACATTGTTCATCTTTCTCTTTTAAAAATATTTATTAGTGAAGCTATGGCCCAAGTGGTAGAATGTTACCTTTGAGCACAAAAGCTCAGCAACAGCATCCTAGCCCCATGTTAAAGCCCCAGGACTGGCACAAACAAATAAATATAAATATATGTATATGTATACATATATCTGTATTATGCATATGTATATGTGTATACATATATATTGATTGATGTCTATTATGTGTCAAGTCCTCTTCAAGTTGGCAAGGATACAATGATAAAGCAAAGTCTTTCTTCCTATAAAACTGTCTGGAAAGAATGACAAGCAATAAAAATAGAAACAAAAAAAGATAATATCAGAGGGTGAAAACTCCAATGTAGAATATGAAAGAGTAAATTCTCATGGGAGCAGGCAGAAAGATGGGAACACTAGGATGGCCTGCAGAGATTTACCTAAGAAAGTGATATTTGAACCAATCACAGAAGAAAATCTAGAGTTAGAGAATTCCAGGGTTTTATTATTTATTTATTTGCCAGTCCTGGGGCTTGAACTCAGGGCCTGGGCACTATCCCTGAGTTTCTTTTGCTCAAGGCTAGCACTCTACCACTTGAGCCACAGCACCACTTCCAGCTTTTTATGTATATGTGATACTGAGGAATAGAACCAGGGCTTCACACATGCTAGGCGAGCACTCTACCACTAAGCCACATTCCCAGCCTAAAATTTCCAGGTTTAAAAAAATCCAGCAAAAAACCCTAAAGTAGATTAAGGATGGAAAGAAGGCTGAAGTGCTTGGCGCAGAGTGAATAAAAGAGTAAGTAGTGAGAGACACAGTAGAGGTTGAAAAGGAAGATTCTATAGTCCCCTTTATAAAGTTTGGGGGTTTTTTCCTACTTGTGTCAGAAGACGATTAGAAATTATAAGGATTGATAAGATCTGAATTACTCTTTAAAATGAAATCTATTGTTGTGTGAAGAGATTATACAGGGAAAAATACTAGAAGCAAGGAAAACAATTAGGAAGTTATTAACCAAGGAAGTTATTAACAAAGTTAGTAACAAGTGTTTAGTAGGAGTATCTCAGAGTATCATGATGTTATTTGTAAAAATGGAGGGTTTACAAATAGGCTTGGGTAGCTGGATATGTTGAATTTGAATTAGTTTCTGATAAAAAGAAAACAAGACGAATGAAGTCTGGAGCCCAGGAAGGATAATTGAGCTATGTTGGCATGTTGGCATTCAAATAATGTTTGAAACAAATAAAATGCCTGAGTTTCCCTAGAAAGAGTAGGTAAAACAGAAAGAGGAGACTATGCCGGAAGCCTGTAGAACAAAACAGCAAGACTGGACCAATAAGAAACAGCCATAGAAACAAAATAAAATAAGAGAGTAGTGTCACAGAAATTAAAGGGTGCCAAATAATGAAGAGAGGTTAAATAAAACAACTGTAAATCTTCTGATGTTTTGCTCTTTTCAACAAGGAAGCCATCAGTAATCTTGAGAGCAGTTTGTCAAGGGAAAAAGATGGAAGCCTAACAGACATTACTTGAAAGAAAAGAGGGAGGGAAACCAGTAGCTAGAAAACTACAGGACTGGAATGATTTTTTTAATGCAGGAAATACACGACTTCTGATGTTCAGCAGTTCATATAATTCCATCAACAACTCTTTCATTCTACCTCTGCCTTCACAGTTCATCTTCCCCCTCTGTTCACAGGCTTTCCCCTGTGTTTAATCTCTTGGTCACAGTGTCCCAAGTAGGCTCCTCTTGTGTGTATGAGGGTAGCCTTCTCTCTGCCATAGAACTTCCTCACTGGCCTGAGGAGGGACTACATACATTCCCCACCGGGAGAATCTGGCCAATTACATTCAAACTTAAAATGTGAGTTATCACCAATCTCATCAATCTTTTTCTTAAAACCGCTATCTCGGGCTGGGAAGGTGGCTCAGTGGTAGAGTGCTTGCCTTGCATGCACAAGGCCCTGGGTTCAATTCCTCAGCACCACATAAGCAGAAAAAGCTGGAAGTGGGGCTGAGGTTCAAGTGGTAGAGCTCTGGTCTAGTCTACAGCTGAAGAGCTGAGGGACAGCGCCCAGGCCCAGAGTTCAAGCCCCACGACCAGCAACAACAACAACAAAAAAAAAAAGTTCTCTCTTGGGTTTATCTCTCTGAAGCCATGATTATATGGGCTGTGAAATACCAAAGTTAGAAGGACAGCAAATGAAAAATGAAACTTAATGGCAGGGAAGCATTGTTGAGGGGGGGGGGGGGGATTTAGTGTCCTATTCCTTGATAAAAGCAAAATCATTTTAGAGCAAGAGAATCTACCCCTGAATACAAAATCCTGCCTTCTCCACAAATGTGACCATTTTGATTTGTATGGAAACTATTTATAAAAGGATAGAAAATCCAATTTAAAGAGTATTCCACTGGATTATTCTCAAGACAAAGTTTTCAGTACAATTCATTCTCTCTGGGTAGGGT